GAGTTGCTATGAATCGCCATCGTCTTGACGGCGCCCAACAACAAAGCAGGGCCGTCAGAGCCACATCTCAGTGTTCAGGTACCATACCCCGGGCACACCGCACTGGTGGCGGGCCCTCGGGGTCAGCCCAGGATGGCACCGCCGAGACCTCATGCTCCACAGAAACCTCACTCCTGACCTGTGGTACAAGGACGGGCATTACCCCGCCTGAGAAACGGCTGGCTGATGCCAAGAGACCATCTCTAACCCCAAGGCAGGGTGGAAGAAAGGCCTGGTGATCTGCTTGGGTAAAGATGACAGCTGAGGAAATCTGTGCTGCTGTTCTGCGTCACACGCGGATCGCAGTGAGTGGGGACATCTCAAGGGCGAGTCCGGTTTTCCGTTTTGGGAGGGATGAATGACTTCCTGACCCACTGGACTGTGTCCGTGACCATGACGTGGCCCAGCCGGAGTGCTTTTGGCAGAGATCCTTCTCAGTCAACCTGAACGTCACCGCCTCACCCTCCTTCCTTCTGCGAAGCTAGCCGTTCGATTGTGGGTGCAACATCACTCCAGACCCTCCTCAGGACCCAGAGCTCTCAGGTCATCCCCTCATTTCACCCCTTTTGCTCTTGTCACCCCCGGTGTCCCCACAGATCACTGGGTCTGAGGACCTTCAACTTGGAAGGTGGAGAGTTGCCCAGACCACACTTGCTTTCAGGATCTTTCTATAAAAACTACATTTCCCAGAAGGCCTCACTCAGGGTCCCAGAAGAGCGCAGTGTGCCCCTGTGTGCTCCTGAACCTGAGGCCAGGCCTCACATGCCTTCAAACAAAAGGCACCTTAGTCGTGTGAAGGCCACCTCGCCTCTGCCCCCCAGAGCCTCCCGCTCACGGCCAGTCATCTCACCAGCTCACACCCCACCGTGCACACAGGTCTCCAAACTGTTCTCCCAGTAAACACCCAGAATGTTCTGCCCAGAGCGAGATGGAAGGGGGTCAGCGTTGCAGTAAGGAGTGATGGAGGGGCTGGATCCACACTGGTCAGCTTAGGGACTGGGGAGGGACAGTAACGCCTGCTCTCCAAGCGCAGGCCCGAGTCCAGGTCTCAGTGTCAATATGTCACCTTCTCAGAGAAGCCTACCCAAGCAGGACACAGCACTCCCCCACTTCCAACTCAATGGTGCCTCTTCTTCCTTCTGGTCCTGATACTACCTAACCCTTCACTATCTGTCTTTGTGAAGTGCAGTCAAACTGAGTACTACTCCTCACTGACCCCATGAACCCTGTCCTGTCCTCTGCCATCCTCATCACTACCTAGTCATGGCTTCTCTGGTCATCGTCCCTACTAGAAGGTGAGCCTTGGATTCATCTGTCCACCCCTGGAAGGATGAGGCCTGGGGGACCTGGACCCGTCCACTCCTGGGACCTCCAGGAGACGTGTCCATGCATCAGAGCAGATCACTGGACACGTGCAGCTCACTCACCTCCCTCCAAAGCCTGAATCGCTGAGTCCTGTCCAGACAAGACACCGAATCAAATCTGGAGTCTGGATCCAACACCACTGGTCACCCCACTCCGAGATCTACAATCCGACTCAGCCATCACCCTTCCTGTCACACAGTCCCAGCTGCCCCAGTCCCTCGATTTGTCACATTTTGCCCAAGTTTCCCTATCTCTCCACAGTCATTCTGATTTTGTCCCTGGGTGGCACAAATAGTTAAACACTAGCCAAAAAGTTGGTACAAACCTACCCAGAGGCACCCTGGAAGAAAGGACTGGCTGTTTCTGCAAAGTCACAGCCTTCAGACCACAGGGAGACCCCATAGCAAAGGACAACAAGCACACTCCTCCCTTACTCACTGGCCTGGCCCTCATGGGCCCCCTCTCTCTGGCCTGCCCAGCAAGCCCTCCTAAGAAGCCCTGGACTCCAGCCCCTGTGACAGAGGATGTCCTCATTGCGGCCCCCATCTCCACAGGATTCCCACCCCCCACCTTCACAATTTCCTCCTTTAACATCTTTCTTCAGCCACACCCCCCATACTAGACTCAGATTCCCTCCAGACAAGTCTACAGAAGCCTGAAATCTCCGTCCTCCCCTCCTCCCCCTGAACCTCGTCAGCCTCGGCTCCTCACTCTCTTTCAATCATCGGACTCCCCCTGTTCCCCATGTCCACCCTCCCGGACCCTCCCCAAGTCCTCCGAGCATCCCCAGTTCACCCAGGCTGCCCACACTGACAGCTCATCTGAAAACGGGGCAAGCGCGACAACACTCGAGTCTCCCTCCTCCCAGTCACCACCGTCCGACCATCCATCTCCGAACCAGGGGCCCCCGGAACCTCTATCTCGGCTCACAACGACTCTCCACGACCCGAACCCTGACCATCTCCACCCCCATAACACCCCAGCTCGGTCAAGGGCCGCTGCCCGTCCCGCCCCCTCAAGCCTCGCCCCGGCCCCGCCCACTGAGCGCTCTCCCCTCCCCTACGCCCACCCTCCCCAACTATGCCACGCCCCCCGGGGGGTCCTCACCCCGACTCCTCGCCTAACGCCGCCGCCCCCAGCCCACTGAGGTCCCACAATCCCCTCCGCCTTTCCCGCTCCTTAGGCCGCAAACTCCTGCGCCTGTCACGCACCCCACGGACTCTGTGAGCTTCTGGCCGGGCCCCGCGCTCTTGAATTTGATGTCAGCCTTTATGTCTTGGAAGAATTTCTTCATGATGACAGGGGCCCGGCGGCGGGGGGCGGCGGGGGGCCGCGGGGGGCGCAGGGCCCAAGGCGGGAGGGGCCCGCAGGAAGCAAGAACCCGAAAGAAAGCGCGCGTCGCCGGAAGTCCCGCCTTCCGGGGGCCGCCCACGTGACAATCAGCCCGGCGCGCCTCTCTAGCTCTCCGCATCTCGCTGGCTCGGGCGGCCCGCTCGGCCCTGTCGCGCCCCCTACTGGTGGTTCGTTGAGACTCGGTTGCCAGGGGCGACGAGCACGCTTCCTGGAGGACTCCGCCTGGGCTCCTTTCAAGGTGTCCCTGCACAGTGAGAGAAGAGAGGGACAGGCGGGACAGTAACCCCCGCGGGGAAGTGGTGGCCTTGTCCTCCTCCCAGCGCAAGAGCCTTCCGTGGCGCCCCAGCATTTATGTGCTATATTCCCAACTCATGTTGTAATTCACAGCCCCAATTTTCACGCCTGCCCGGATTCGCTTCTGTTGTGCATCGAGTCGCTATGAGTGTGTAGCCAACTCAATGGCACCTAGCGTGCGTAACAGTCGCATTCTGTTATACTGTGTGGGAGAATTTATAGAAGACAGTGAGCTAAGGCCTGGACATGGTAGACGGTTACCAATAAGTTAATGTCACCCCGAGTGACAGCTATAACCATACTCTATCACTGTCCCCAAGTCGGCTCCAACTTACGACGACCCGTGATCAGATGTCCAAAGTTGTCAATCATGACAAGAGGAGACTGCCCAGTTTTCTTCTTGGAGCAGCTGGTGGATTTGAAATGCCTTTGGGTTAATAGCGAAACTTGCTTTCAACTGTCACCAGAGTTCTCTCTCTTACAGCTAAAATAACATTGAAAATGTGTATGTGCATAGTAACAGAGCGTCAGAATACATGCGGTTGTAACTGATAACTGATAAGAGTTGTAGGGAACGGATACAATCCATCGTTATGCGCTGAAGACTTCAACACCTCCCAATTGATGGTAGATGAAGCATGCAGAAAGTAGGGAGAGATCGAACTAGATATAATTGATGTTTACAGGTTGCATCATCCAACAACAGCCAAATACATATCTTTTGCTAACTCAAGTGAAATATTCCCCAAGATAGACCAAATCCTAGGTCAGAAAACAACTTTAAAGAAATAGGATGAATCACAGTGGAATAAAACAAGAAGTCAATACCAGATTGATAATTGTTGCTTCAACTCATTGTACCCTGCAGGCAAGAGAACACAGCCCCAGGATCCAGCACCATCCTTGCCGTCTGTCGCTGCCAGGCTTGCACGTGGTGTGGCGGTCACTGTTTCAATCCTTCTCCTGGACGGTCATCCTCCTTTTTTTATGATTCTCTACCAGATTTAACCCCAGCAGTCAAGAAATCAAAAGATGAATTGCATTAGGAAAATCTATTGTCAGGGACCTCTCCAGAGTGCTGAAGAACACAACATCTAGAGAGTAAGGGGCACCTGATCCAGGTCATCGTCTAACGCAATTAGTTGCTATATACCAGAGGGCTGGACCAGGACTAAGGATGACAGAAGAACTGATGCCTTTGAGTTGTGGTACTGGAGAAGAGTACTGAAAACACAATGGACTGACTGCCAGGAGAACTGATAGATGTGTCTTGGAAAGCTGTTCCTTGGAGGCAAGGATTTTGAGGCTCTGTCTCATATGCTTCATGCATGTAGCCAGGAGAGACAGGCCTTGAAGAAGGATATCATCCTTGGAAGGGTGGAGGGACAGCACAGGAGAGGAAGACCCCAGATGAAACGGATTGACTCAGTGGCTGGGGTAATAAGAATAGGTGTGTCAGAGGCAGTGAGATTGGCTCAGGATGGAGCAGGGTTCAGAGCTACTCTACACAGAGTTGCTGAGTCTTAGCTCAACGGCACGTAACAGCAACAACTGTCAAGTGTGTGTCACTCTGCAGGAACCTCCGGATATGGTGGTGGTGTAGTGTGCCACTGAGTCAGAACTGACCTCTAGCTGACCTTCTGGCAGGTTCTCCAAGACAGTTAATCACCCAAGAGGAGATTACCTATCTTTCTCCCATGGAGCAACTGGTGGATTCGAACTGCATACATTCGGGTTGCAGAGCAGCTTCTTACCACCAGAGCTCCCTAACTATATCCAAAGTATGTGAGATAAAAACCTTACTATCCTAACTTCTAAAGAGCACTCCCACTACACTCTTTGAAGACAGATTTCCGTGTTATTTTGTAGTCCATGGAATATTTATTATTCTTTGCCAATAACCACAATTCAAAAATCTCAGTTCTTCTTGAGTCTTCCTTATTCACTGTCCGACTTTCACATGCATGTTGCTGCTGTTGTTATGTGTTCTTCTGTTAGCTATGATTCATAATGATCCTATGAAAAGCAGATTCATGCCCGGCCAACAGTACACGGAAGTTCAAGCTGAATCTAGAAGATGCCGTGGCACCGGGGATATTATTGCCAATGTTAGATGAATCTTGGCTGAAAGCAGAAAATATCAGAATGTCTATTTAGTTTTTTATTGGCTATGTAAAAACACTTGATTATGTAGATCAACAGATCATGGCTAACATTGAGAAGAACGGGAATTCCAGAACACTTAATTATGCTCGTGCAAAACCTATACCTAAATTAAGAATCTGTTGTTCAAACAGAGCAAGGGAATACTGCATGGGTTAACATTTTAAAAGTGCATGTCAGGACTACAGCCTTTCTCCATACCTATTCAACCTGTATGCTGAGAAAATCATTTGAGAAGCTGGACGTTATGAAGGAGAATGTGACATCAAGTTTGGAGGAAGACTCATCAACAATTTGCGTTTTGCAGATGGCATAACTTTTCTTCATGAAAGCGAGGAAGACGTCAGGTGTTTGTAAGAGAAGCTCAAGGACTGCAACCTTTAATATCCACTCACTGATGGATCTCAAGATCAAGAAAACAAAATTCCTCCCGCTTGGGCCAATAGTCAACATCATGAGTGATGTGAAAAAGATTGAAATTGTCAACAATTTAATCTTGCTTGATTCTACAATCAATACCCTTGGTACCAGCAGTCAGGAGATCAAGAGACGTATGGCACTGGGAAATTCGGCTGTCAGGAACACCTCCAAAATCCTTAAGAGCAATTATATCACTTTAAAGATTAAGATGTGCCTGATTCAAGCCATGATCTTTTCATGCATCTGAGAACTGGACAATAAGTAAGGATGACAGAAGGATGCCTTTGAGCTCTGGTATTGGAGAAGAGTACTGGATATCCCATGGACTTCCAAAAGAACAGATATAACTTGGAGAAAGTGCAGCCAAAGTGCTTCTTGGAGGCAAGGATGAGAACGTTTCATCTCATATTTTTGGCTTGTTGTTAGGAGAGGTTATTCCTTGGAGAAAGACATCATCATGCTTGGAAAGGTGGAGGGACAGTGAAGGAGAGGAAGACCCTCAGTGGGATGGTTTGACACAGTGACTGCAGCAAAGGACTCAAGTGTGTTGGGAATGATAGGATGGTGCAGGATAGGACAGGGTTCAGATCAGCTGTTTGTAGGGTCGCTATAAGTCGTACACGACTTGACAGCACCAAATAACAACAACATGATGCCACAGCAGAAAAGATCTGGCATCTGCTTTGTAATGATTACAGCCCAGAAAGCCCTATGGTGAAGTTCTGCTCTGTTACCTGAGTCTGTAAATTGAAAAATACTCAACAACATCTAGGCACACTATTTTCTATCTGTGGAGGCTCTGGGTGGTGCAAACTCTGTCTGTATTTGACTGCTTAGATAAAAGTTGGCAGTTCAAATCCACTCAGATGGGTCTTGGAAGAAAGCTGTAATGAACCGCTTGTGAACAATCAACTATTGAAAATGATGAAGTTCTATTCTGACACAACACAAGGTCACCATGAATTGAAGTCATTTCGATGGTGACACACCTCAACTGGGTATGTCTCGTACAATTTGTGTCTGTTGTAATATTTGGAAAATACCCTCTGCCATCTGGAAAACACACTTTCAGGAGGGGCCAATCCTTGGGAAAAGACATTGAAGTATCAGAACCCTTGAAAATCGGCAGTTAGGAACCTCTCCCAAGTTATTGAGTAGTAATGATGTCAGTTTGAGGACTAAGGTGTCTGATTCAGACCACGGTCTGTCTTATTACTTGCTATGGATCTGAGAGCTGGACAATGAATAATGATGACAGAAAAAGAATTGATGCCTTTGAGCTGTGGTGTTGGAGAAGAGCTCTGAACATCCCATGGTTGGCCAAGAGAATGAATGGGTATTTCTTGGACAGGGTGTAGCTGAGTGCTCTTTGGAGGTAAGAATGATGAGGCTTCACCTTACATACTTCAGTCATGTTGTTAGGCGGGGCTATTCCTTGGAGAAGAACATAATACTGGGAAGAGTGGGGGGTCGGCAAAGGAGAGAAAGACCCTCAACTAGGTGGGTTGACACAATGACTGCTGCAGTGGGCTCTTACGTGTCAGGAAGTGTCGGATGGTGCAGGACAGAACAGGGTTCAGATCTTTTGTTCTTAGATTTGCTATGAGTCATATTCGACTCAACGGCACATAATAACATAACATCACATCACAACATAACATAACAAGCCATTGTGTTAGCGACCATTGGGAGGCATGATCTCTAGCTACTTTGACTATAGACACATGATCTTGAAAATCATCAGCAGCTGTGGGACCAATGTAAGTGCGTTCTAAACTGTTGAAAAACGATGATGGTGGGGGGCAGACTATGAAGAAACTATAGCACTGCTGTGAAGCAACTGTGGCAAGGTGTAACCAGAGAAACTCTAAAGATAAAGGCCACAGTTAAAGATTTTCCTTGCTGGATGATTGAAGGAAAAGCTGACTTATGACTGCTCTGAGATAAAGTTTGCTGGATGACTGAGAAAACCAGAGGTTTCTTGCATTTGTGCGTCTGAGCTGAACTTAGACTTTCATTTGTTGACTGAAAGCTGTCTGAACTAACTGAGGAATTACGCTTTGT